ATTGCGCGCAACAATGCGCGACCCTTCCTGATTGTACATGATGTTAACAATGTCTGCCCTTTGTCAGCTGGTCAACTTGTAAGGACGACTTCCAAGGCTACGAGTGGTCCTGCACGCCCACTGGCGCCCGCCTTTGCGGTGAGCCTGTTCGCTCCGACAACGGCGGGCGGTCCATGTACCCATGTATTCGGCGGAGTATCAGAGTGAGATTTCCGATGAGATAAGGTCAGCCTCCTCTGCCGATAAACATTGGCCTGTTTATTTGGTTCGCTCACGACACGACAACGACATGGTTCAGTTAGTCACTTGCATGTATCAACTGCAGCTGCAACACTTCTGGTCTGTGGGTTGGTGGAAACCTTCTGATGCATTCTGTTACAAACAAGGGTAGGTACCATGTGGGCAGAGGTCTTGGCAAGCAACCTGTGGCGTTGCCGTTGAATGATAGGGTATGTTGTGACAGGGCTGCTTAGAGTCTGTATGGCAGGACAGTGGTACAGTGGTACAGTGGTAAAATGACCTGCGTGCGGTCGGTATATGCCGGCCGGCTGGCTGGGTACGCCAGGTGGTGCAGGGTGGGGAGAGGATGGAACGTACGGGCGGTGCCGAACATGTGCCCTTCTTAGAAGGGGAACCGGGAGAGCTCCTGGAGAGTAAATCCGGCCTTCTTGAGCGACTCGGCACCGATATCCTTGACTTCCTGGTCGAGGTGGTCAAAGAGCACGTCGTGGAAGTCGTCCATGATCTTGCGAAGCTCCGAGGCGTTGTAGCTCGACGGGTTGGCCGTGGCCTTGCTCAAATACGCACTGTACTTGGCCATACCATCGTGGATGCCGCGGTGAGCCTTCACGTGCTCGGAATTGGTGGCGGCAAACTGTGGGAGCTTCTTGGCGAGAAGAGGGAAGATATGGGCCTCTTCAACACGGTGGTGGTTGCCGAGGTGGATCGCGAGCTGCGCTGCCTCTTGAAGGAACCCCTGGAGGGACTGGCCCTTGACGTGGAAGCCGCCCGCAGCGTTCTCGTAGACGTTCTTGTACTCCCACCGGTAACTGTTGTGGTACCGGTTCATACCGTCGGCGAGACGGTTCCACTGGCGGAAGTCGGCATTGTCATTGTTGGTCATGTGTAGGGGGGCGTGTGATGAGACCTGTTGATGAGGTTGGGTAGCACGCGAGGCGCGGGGCGAGTTAAAGATGTCGCAAGTATGATGGTGACGGCCGCAAAGACTGTGTAACTGTGTACAGGACTAGGTGTTTGAAACCTGATGAGGCCATAATGATACAGCGACGCGACGATGGCTATTATATATCTTGTCCAGAGCTGCAGTGCGTATGGACACCGACGGGCTCGAGGCGATGTTCCACATCAGCCTACAGCCGTCCAGCAATTAACGTGCCTCGAATTCGCTGAGCAAGCAACGTGAAGCAAAGGTTTAGCGGAACCATCAGTGTTCTAATCCAAAGCGGCCGCCGGCTTAAAGAGACACTGGTGCCGGCAGCCGGCGGCGATGTCCACATTGCGTGGCCACCAGTTTCCGTTGGAAGAGTGGCCGTGACCGAGGGCCACACGGACGGCTTGTTAGCGTCCACCTTTTTATGTCCTTCTCTCTTCTGCGAGAAATAATCGGAAATGCTCGAATATTCCAGAAAACCATCACTGGATCACTGGAGCCACTGGCCATGGCCGGCGTGCTCTTGGGATGCACAGGTGGCGAAGCCCGTCTGCTATCGACGATTTCAACACCGGGTTCCTTTACGACAGTGTGGCCCGATTTGCCATGCCAGCCCGCTGGCATAGGCTGAGGGCTCCAAGGAGGATACATGCATGCCAAGTCAGAAGGAACATGTTCGGAGATCATGCATCAGCCGGCTACGTATACAGACATTTTGTGCTGGTGCGCCCTCGGTGGAAGTGAGGAGATCACATACAGGTGATAGTGTGATGTCATGATGCTCCTGCACGTCCTTTGTGCAACTTCAGATGGGTGTCAGACTGCCAGCCCGGCCTGTCTCTCTCTCGCTCAGGACACACGCACATGCTTACGCCCTCCAATTACTTTCGGATTTTGAATCTCATGACCTCAGATGCTACGACGTCACCACTCTCCTCTTCACCGTCGCCTCTTCACTTATGACTCTTTACCACCACGTGCGGCCTGCTACATACTGACCAACCACCGTTTCCCCACAGGTGTTGGCCACGATCAACATGACATCCACTTTTCCTCCATCCAGCTTCTTCTCGGCACACCAAGCCCCCACTACGGACCCCGTGTGACCATCGACGGTGGCTTCTTTCCTTACATCCTGGACAAAGTGATAGCTTATTCCGACGTGCGTACCCTCTTCCAGTGGCGGGCCACGTCCAGGACCCTCCAGAAGCGACTTGACCCGATCCTTTTCCGCACCATCACTGTTGAGGTGCAGTCTTCTCAAGGCTTCGATGACAGGCAACGGTTCATTTCAGTCCGCGTTCGGGATGCCCCGATTTTCCTTGATCCAATCGTTCACCGGCACTTGATTGCCAAGTATGCTCGAGTGGTGGACGTGGTCGATGGCGAGGGCATGAAAGTGGACCTGCACCCAAACCTGCAGGCTGAACTGGCCTACGACCTGAGCTGTAGAATCTCCTTGTTCCTCAAGTACGTCAAACGTCATCGACGTCAGCGGTGACATACATGGCAGGTGCGACCAACAGCCCCACCCCCGGGTCATCTACATAGCCACGCTAACGGACTCAAGATACGTTCTCAGCGACAAAAGCCTTTGTACCGACATCAAACTACGAATGAAGGGAGTGGCAAGATGAAAATGGGGCGGGAATGCGTGTCTGATGAGGATCATATAGCTGGAGTGAGCGGGTGATAAGATAATTGAGGTCGAGGGGGACTGGTCCAGTCGATGTGGTCAGTGGTCCGCCGAACTGCACTGTATTTTAGCCTCCCTTAGTCAACTCAATATGTCGAGGATGTTGTCAAGCGTACCTGTACACTGTCTGCACAATGGTGGCTCACATGAGCGGTGGCATCGTACGCTGTTGCTAAACGGATGGTGGGTTCAATTCGCCACCGGCAACAACCAGCCAGGCACGCCACCCACCACAAGCCATCCGCGTCATTCCCGGCTAACGGTGTGGGACAATCAAACTCCACTGACATAGCATTTTGTCCATTGCTGATATCCTCTTCAACATCGACACACCCTTCTGTCCACACATCCGTACGGCCACACCGTCAGCGCCGCTGACAGCCAGACGCCGACATTACTCCATCCCAGTACTGGCACCTAGTGTCCCGTCCAGTGGACCGCCCCACAGTCCACGGCCCATCTCCGTGCGAGCCGCGCCCCAACAAAGTGCCCTCCATCGCACCTCCGTTGAGGTCAGACACATCTTACAGGGCTGTAGCTGCCACTGCAGACCCTCAAGACATCACCTAGAGCCGTAACCGCACCTCTCGAGCTACCTCCCCCGTCCCAGCACTTCATCCCTTCAGTCCCCGTCTACCCTGCCCACCATGCCAGTCACATTCGCGCCCGCTCCCGAGCACCAGCGCCGCCTGTCGGCATCTTCCCCGTTCCCCGGCCGCATCATGACCAGCCTGGTCCCAAGCGACCCCCGGTACACAAGCACAAGCACGGTCCAGCTCGTCGTCCTCGCCGAGGCTCGGCGCCGCGGGTCCCGCTACAGGGGTGCCCGGCCCTGTTCCCGAGGACCCGTTCGAGGAGTCTGGCGTAGCGCGCGCAGAAGGCACCACCACTCAAAGCGCGTACGAGCGCGTGGACCAACTCGCCGCAAGAGGAGCGGATGCCGCTGTACGCGGTGGACGAGGAGGATGCGGAGCGCCAGCCGCTGCTCGGCGACGATGGCCCGCGGCCCGATGTCCAATGGGCGCTCACGCTGGGGATCACCGTGGCCATTGCGGCGATCACGTTTTGATCCTGTTCGTGTGGAAGCTTACAGAGCCTGCACCCGAGTCGGACAACGGCGGTGCGTAGGGATTGAGCGGAGGGGAGGAGACGTGACATGGGATGTTGAGGGACGGCAAAGGGGTCGTGGGGTCGTAGGGATGAAGAACCAGGTTTCTTGGCTGGGTTTGTGGAGACAGGGTTGTGTGGTCCTAGAAGTCTATAAGTTGAATAACATGCATGAGTGACAAGTTGTAGAGCAAGCGCGCAAGACTACTAAGAGGCATGGCATCGAAGGGCTCAAACAGTCGCATGTCGAATTTCAATGGAGCAATAAGCAGTCGTAACATAGGCGGCTATAGGGCTTGCATTTCAATCAGTTGGGTGGACAATAGGGACAAGTTGCCCGACGATTATGCAAGTCCCGAAATCACAATGCGAACGTTGGAGGCTTTACCTTGCCAGGATTGTCTGTATTTTTCGTTGCCGAGAAACACAATGGCGCGCACTGGACCGTACTACATTGGTACACTGGTGAGGGTATGTCATGTGTATGTTTCTCAGGCAACCGGCACGTGACCTGCCCCTGTTTGCCAGTTTGCTCCCCGCCAGCCCCCACACCCGATTACCCCACACTCGGTGACGACGATCACGAGCCCCGCCGGAGCCTGGGGTTGTAGTCTTGCTCCGACACTGCATCACACGTCTCCCATCAAACCCCCTCTCAGTGCACATATACTTGATAACCCCGCAACAGTTTCCATCATGCATCGTTACATCTCCCCAACCACCATGATCCGTCGCGCCCGTGTACCGCGCTCGTTTTTCGCGTCGCTCTCGCAGCGTAACCTGGTGAGTGGCGGGG